CCCCAAAACCCCAAAACCCCAAAACCCCTGTTACTTCCTTGTATTACAAACTCATTAAATTTTTTGTTTCTATGTGAATAAATGAAATTACTTCGAGTCCCTAATTGTTCATAATTTAGCAAGTGGTGTGATAACTACATGATCCTTAAGATTAATCTCTTTCTAGAGTAAATTCCAAATGTGGTCATTCTTCTTTGGCTTCTATGTGATATCTTTGAATATCTTTTTCTTCATTGCCTAATTCTCATTGATTACCAATGTGACACACGCATCTGTGCCTTTAAACTATATCAAGGTTATTGCAAGCATTGATTACTTGTTCTTTCCAATACTTTGAAGGCTAAGATGCAAATATTTTTTCGAATCTATCCTTCATCTTAGGCCACTGTTCTTGATTATTCTAGTTTTCTATTAGAGATTTCTTTTCATCATCATCAACAGGCAATCCCTACAAGATGAATTGAGAATGACTAAGAGATGTAGAATCATATGCTTAAATTGATCATATATTACTTTAACAAATAGCTTGAAGAATTGTGGTTCAATGCAGCCTACAGCAAAGTATTTTCTATCTTTACTCAAATAAGTGGTATAATAAGGAGCACCACCATCAATCATATTTTAACCTTATTCATTTCGCCACTACCCTAGTTCTCTCATTGATTAAACGAATTAGCAGATATATATTAAGTTATCAACGGGATAGTTTTGAATATATTGCTATTGATTTAGTGATTTTTATGTCTATGCAGCAAGCATTATCTTTGTGAATAACATTAATGAATAAACATAGTAAAACTAAAAAGCAATACTTAGCAGATAATGAATGCATACCATTAAGCTTGATGTTGGCTGTTGAGGAAGAGATTAGGGTCTTTTAAATCTGCCTAGCTTAAAGTGAGATAAGCCGACGATGGATAAGAAACCACTCTTTGCTAGATATTCATGCTCTGACAGAACTGCTTTATCGCCTAAAAGATTATTGAGTATTCATAAAATTCATACTATTAAGGATTGAAATTATGGCATCTTATTTGAAGAGATCTTTATTTAGATCTGGAATATCAGAAGATATAACAATAATGTCAAAAGACTTTAAATCTTTAATCTCATCTATCTTTTGTTTGCTGATATCAACATAGGATACCTTATCAAACACTGAGGGCACATCTTTCATTAATTTTAAAGTCCACAATAGATACTTCCTCATTTCAGGCTTGTTGCTTAGCCCGATTACCGATAATTTCTTTACTTATGTCTCGGGCTCTGGTTGCTTTTAAGGATTACTTGTAATTTAAGACATTTTTATGCTCAAGAATATTAATAGTACTAATAATTAATTATTAGAGTCATATTTTAATATAAGGCTACAATAAAACTAATATCAACAGAGAGAATATGTGGCATATCTCAATGATTGAGATGAATTGAAATTCAACCTCATAGACTCCAAATAATGCTATCATAGACACCACTGAAATCAATGCGAAAATGATAATCCCAGCTATCTTAGATATCTTATTTAACTTCTAGAGAATTTTTACTGTCCTATCTGTGAGATAACCTCTATTTATAAACTTCTCAAGCCAAATTATAGCTGCAAGGTAAAATATCAGAAATAGATTGATGACTGTGACAGTCACTTGCAGAGGCCAACTCTTTGACAATCCTATTATCTTATTCCGATCATAGCATAGCTCAAAATTGAAAGTATAAATTGGAAGAAGCGTTGCAGGTCCCATAGCTGCTATTAGCAGAGGAATTACAAATGGACGCCAAAGTATAAGGGATCTTACTTTTTATCTATTGTAGATCACGTCATATCTTATGAAAATTATTGTTAGTATTTTTAATAAATTTTCTACGACTACCTCTATCCATAGTGTTATTCTAAGAATCATAGGAATTTCTATTTAGCATTTTGAAAGCCTATAGGATATGAAGAGTAAAATCGATATGCCAACACTGAATAATGCCATGATAGTATACCAGATTAGCAATAATGAGTCTGGAGTCGTTACTGAAACAAAAGTTAATTAGAAAAGTATAACTTACATCTAGTGTCAGTAAAATTTTCCTTTGATCCATCATTTTGGAAACTGAGAAAACTTGTTCTCTTCGGCTTTTTAGATTTACCTTGGTTGAACTTACTGCTGTAAAATCCCTTATCCGAGTTTTTACTCATCAGTTAGCTCGAGTCTTAATTGTTATCTTCATTAAAGGACTCCACCTTCATTTTCCTTTTTCTGCTGCCGTTACTTAAAATACTGACTCAGCTATTCTCATTTTTAGTGTTCAGTCGATTCAGATTTGATGCTGTTAATCTCTAATCCTTTGTACTGGCATCGCTAACTTCTATCTCACTTTTAAATTTGATTATAGTTGATCTTCGTCCAAGAATTTGCATATTAGGCTTAAGTGAATCTGAGACTACTGACTTTCTTATTGATTGTCTACTTTCTCCTGTCACATTACTATCTTCATATTTTGTCTCAATGTGTAAAGCGTCTCCCTATTTCTTTAGCTCTTTAACCAACTATGATACTGTTTTACCCTGTCTTTCTGCTTCACGAAGTATCTCCTTGCTTACTAATACTTTTAACTTTCTCTTAGTTGATGTTCGGCCTAATTGTTCTGGCTCTTATTCAGAATACTGAACTGGAGGTATATCTTCAACGACTTCGAATGGAGGTAGTTCATTAGTATTGCTACTAGTATTACTCATCATCGATCCCCTCATGATACTTTATGTTTACATAAATGGATCATTTTATTTTCCAGTACCTTTCAATCTAATACCCCCTCTTTCTAATGAAAGGCTATTACTGTCCCTATTTATCTTTTTTAAAGATCTCCTTTCCCCGTTCTAATTTTTACCTTGCCTAGCTTTCATTGAATTAGGGAAATTCAAAGCATCATTAGTGTCATAATTATCTTAGTATGATTAATAATCAATCATCTTCACTTCTTCATTCGACTCGAATAGATTTTATCTACCACTTTTAATCTACATAGATCGTCTATTTATAGCATCTGCATCATCTTAGTAATCTTCAAAACCTGAATTGAAAGCAAAACCATTAATAGGAGGTAGCTTATCTTTCTATAAAGTGGTGAATTCAAATATTTTGTTTGATACTGAGAAATCTTAAGAGAATATGAATGCATTAGCTGCTTTTCTTTGCTATAATGTATTGAAAAATGGGTCTTCATCAACATCAGAAATCTCAAATTAATCTCCGTTCATTTTGAATTATTTATTTCTCTTATCACTAATCAACTAAATTTTAACTTAATTTACCGACAGGGGTTTTGGGGTTTTGGGGTTTTGGGG